CGGCCACGTGGGAGTCCAGCTCCTTATCCACCATGCCACCTGCTGGCCCCTTTATGAACTATTCTAGCAGACTTTTGACTTACCATATTACCAGAATCTTTTTCTTTTCTTTTTTTTTTTTTTTAACTTCATTTTACTGCAGCATGGAGAACCATGAGAGAGAGAAAGGAGACGTGAGAAATTACCCCACCACCACCACCCTGGGGTGGATGGCCATATAGCAATCCCTTCTCCATTTTCCTCTTGGGATTTTGGGCACACACACACATCTGGCGTGTTTTTCAGGCCCCTGGGCCTGGGACTCCAGCCCTGTACAGCCATGTGGCATCCAGCACCTTAACTACCACGCCACCTGCTGGCCCGTTACCAGACTCGTGTTGAGTGTGGCGTGACGGAGGGTGCATGCACTTCCCATGTCCTTCACCTTCGGTGGCAGCAAGTGGAAAAGTGTCGTTTTCATTTCCCTAACACATACCTCAAAGAACTCAAGAGCCTTATTTTATTTTTCTATGTTTTTATGTTTTTGCTATAGTGTACATGCACTCTCCAGAGAGAGAGAGACAGGGAAGGTGAGAAGTTGCCCTGGGGTGGCCACACTGCACTTCCTCTTCCTCCATTCTCATTTCCGTCTCACATGTGCACGAGCTGCCCGGTCCAGCATTCAAACCACACGTGCAGCCACGTGGAATCCAGCCACCTTTACATCCATGCCACCTGGAGGCCTGGGCTTCCTCTTTATTTTATTTATGATGTTTCTAAAACACGTTGCAGGTCAGCCCCACTCGTCACAGCTCGGGGCTGTGTCTGGCTGCAGGCGGAACAGGCTCTCTCGTTTTGGGACTCGCCGAGCGTGGATGGTCTCACTGTAGAAGCGTGTTCTGTGGTGCAGTCAGGAAGAAACCCTCTGCTGGGTCTCCACAGCAGGTGGCTAACTCAGGGCAAGAAGGGCGGTCCGCTCTCCCGTCCCCTTCCCCATCTCCCCGTCTGTAAGGAAGGAAGAGGGACTGAGAGCTGTTCCCTCACACGATGCTAAGAAGTCGGCACTGGTCTTTCCTATTTTGTGGGATGGAAAGCGAATGAGAAAGCAGGTCGTTTCGGGTGATTCACATTTTGGCTTTCCACAGACAAGGACGTAGACCTGTGCTCAGAACATCCAGTTGGTTTGATCTTTTCTTAAAGTCATAATCAAATGAAGTGTTTCTCGATGATTCAGGATAATTTCAGAAGGAGAGGAAGTGTAGGGACCAGCAGATGGCATAATGGTTATGTTGCTGGACTCCCATGTAGTCAACCGTGGTTTGAGTCCCAGACCCGGTGGCTTAAACTCATGCCGGGCACATGCGCGTGTCTGCCTAAGATCCCAAGAGGAGAATGGAGGAGAAGGGATTGCGGCGTGGCCACCCCCTGGGGGACGATTTCTCACTTTCTGTCTCTCTCTGTCTTTCCTGTGAGTGCATGCACCCTACAGCAAACACCTCTTCAAAAACAGAAAAAAGTAGAAGTATTTGGTCATTAGAGGTAATCGCACTAAGCTGAATGGGCAAGTAAAGTCTGTGGGGGTTCCAGGTGATCCGAACTCCAGAACCGAGGTTGGAGAAGTCAGACACCACCGCCAGGTGGTAGCACAGGGCAGAGTCCAAGAGCCCGTGCAGAGCATGTGTGCCGTTCTTCCGGGGAGAGAACACATGACCCAGTCAGTCTCTGCTAATCTCCTACAGAAGATTATGAGCCTCCGAGTAGGAAGCATGAGTCCCATCCCACTTCCTGGAGCCTCTTCATTTAAACGACCCGTTTCCCCTCCTGTTCCGATGTGGCATCGCGAGTGGTGTGCCTAGAGTCGGGCGATGGAGGGAACTTGGATTGCAAGCCCCTCGAGAATCTTGTTGTTTAGGGCGGGATTGTGGTGCCTTTGGCAAAGGTGGTAAAACTGAAACTGAGGGGAACCAGCAGTTAGCGTAATGGCTATGTCACTGAATTCCCACGTAGTCGACTGCGGTTCGCATCCCGGACCCGGTTGCTTAAAACTCATGCCGGGCGTGTGTGTGTGCACGTGCCCAAGATCCCGAGAGGAGAATGGAGGAGAAGGGATTGCGGTGTGACCATCCCCCCGGGGGGTGATTTCTCGCTTTCTGTCTCTCTGTCTCTGTCTGTCTGGCGAGCGCACGCGCCCTATAGCGAAAAACCTCTCAAAAAAAAAAAAACCTGAAACTGAGCAGGGTGCTATGGCTGTCAGAAAGGAACCTCAGATGAAGTCCTTTGAGACGAATAGGGACTCCCACACCCAAGGGAGACCGAAGCGCATCGCTGAAAGACAGGCCTCTCTCGTGTGGGGCTGGTGTGTGCGCGTCCTGGTCCTCGTGCTAGAACGCCAGAGGCCTCCCTGCCCAGCCCGACCCAGCCCCACCTCAGCCCTCAGCACTGCCCCACCCGCTCTCACCCTGCCAGGGTGTCTTGGTGCTGCAGCCGGGGCTGTGTCTTACTGCAGGCAGAGCTGGCTGTGCTGTCTCAGGCCTCAGGGAGCATTAGACATTCTGGGACGCACATGGCAGATAAAGGATTGTTGACCACAGGGAGAAGGTCGTCTACACTCTGCCTTCTAAAAAGCTACTTTTTAAGAACGCCCTGTTTTGGGGGCCAGCAGGTGGCACAGTGGTCAGAATGCTGGACTCCCAGATGGCCAACTGCAGTTCCATCTCAGACCTGCGTGCACGTGCTGTCTCCCTCTCTCTGGTGAGCACACGTGCCCTATAGCAAATTAAAAGCTAGTAATAATAAACAATAAGATTTAAATCAAAACAAAACGTCCTTTTTATTTTTACATTCACCCTAGCCACACTGTCTGCTTCCTCCTGCCTCTTCCCAGCCCTTCCCCCCTGACGGGCAGCACCAGCTTCCCAGGCCATGGGGCAGGAGGCTGGCCGGTCTTGTGAGATCCGAGCACGACCAGCGTGCCCTGCACTGTGCGGGGCGGGGGGGGGGAGGGACCTGCATCTATCCTGTCGAGTTTGCGAGAGCTTGGGTGTTGGAACAGCTGGGCTCCGTCTTCTCTCTCTATCTTTAAAATTTTGCCATATGACATCTGCGTGCGCTGGAGTGGGGGTGAAAGAGCACATCCCCTCTCCTGGCTGGGGGATGGCCATGCCGCGGGCTCTTCTCCCACCGGGATTTCGGGCACACACGCACACACCTGGTATGTTTTTCAAGCCTCCAGGTCCAGGCCTTGGACTGTGCAGTCAGCCATGCGGGTCCAGCACCTTAGCCACCATGGCCCCTGCTCTGCTGGTCCTGACAGTACTCTGTCCTGAGTAGCTAACAAACCCATGTTGTCCCCGGTGAGGTGATGCTAATAGGGGAGGGAATTTTCTTCTCTTTGAAAAAGAAATCTGTGTAATTTTCTTATTTCCTAAGGCTCCTGCTCTTTGCCATAAATGTATCCTTTGACTTTTTCTACACTTTTAACTACCGTACATTATAAATTAGCATGGTTCACGCCTTTTTAAAAAAATGATAGTGATGGGACCAGCAGGTGGCGTAATGGTTACATTGCTGGACTCTCACATAGCTGCCCGCTGTTTGAGCCCCAGACCCGGTGGCTTAAAACTCATGTGAGACTGGAGGAGAAGGGGTTGCGGCGTGGCCATCTCCTCCACCCCCCGGCGGCCCACATCCCCCCCCCCCCCCCCCGGGGTTATTTCTCACTTTCTGTCTCTTTGTCTCTCTGGCGAGCACACGTGCCCTATAACAAACAAATCTCTCTCTTAAAAACAAAGAACACACACGATAGTGACAACTCCCTTAGATAGCTCTTTGCTTATGAGTAAGGAAGAATGTCCACAGAAAGGTGAAGTGAGTTATACTTGAATTCTTTAATAGTTGAGATACAGAGTAACAACCTGACAAGTAGCACATTGTTACATGCAAGGCACATTTAGGTTTTAATTAAAATGCAGTTATAGAATTCCCAGTCTGACTGCAGCCAAGAAAAACTTAACTTACCATCAAGCTTTCTTAAGGGAGTTCTGTAAAAACCTTATCTTCACCGTTTCCTTTTTTTTTTTTTTTTTTTGATTTTTTTTTTTTTGTGGGCATTTGTTTGTTTTTTGGAGAGTTTTTTTTTTTTTTTTTTTTTTTTTTTTTTAAAAATGACCACACCACAATCCCTTCTCCTCCATTCTCCTCTCCGGATCTTGGGCACGCACGCACACATGCCTGGCGTGAGTGTTAAGCCACCAGGTCCGGGATGCGAACCGTGGTTGACTACATGGGAGTTCAGCGACATACCCAGTTACGCTAACTGCTGGTCCCTCACTGTTTCTAATACAGTATGGAGTCAGGAGTTCATACAGGACAAACTGTAGCTGCTGGTATCCTGGAGAGGCTGTCTGCTCTACCTCTTTGTTTTTAAATCACCGGAGGGCAGCCTGGGAACGGTGCAGAGCAGGCGCCTCCCTGGAGCATGGTTAAGCCTCAGTCCTTTTCTCTCCACCTCCACCCCGTTGGGCCTTGGGGCTGCGTGCATGGTCTGAACCCCGATCAGCCACAGGCGATCCGCTTTTGAGCTGACTTCAGCCCTGCACCACGTAGCCAGCCCTCCTCTTTGGAACCTTGAAGCATAGTTGAATTTAGCTGGCAAGGCCGAGAGTGTGTAGTTGGTTTGCCCTGCCGTCCTGCGGGGTAGACCCGTCTGAACTGGACGTCTGTCTGAACTGAGCGACGCTCATTGCACGAAGGCAGGGCGAGGTTGTGGCCAGTTTACCATTACTGATCTCACCTGAGCGTGCCGGTTGTGGTTTAAAGGATGTGTGGAAGCTTTGGGGACTTGTCAGACTACAGCCACCAAGTAGATCACCCCGTACACGCAGCTTCAGACAGGGGCTTTCTGACCTCCCGCGGCTGCCTGTCCTTTCTGCTGTCTATTCATGCGTGCCAGCTGTCCGCCCCGGCTCCCCCACCCGTCCTCACTTGTACTCACGTGTGCTTGTGTCTGGGCCGCTGGTCAGGCCTCAGACGTTCCACAGCTACCTAGAAGACATCATCAACTACCGCTGGGAGCTGGAGGAGGGGAAGCCCAACCCCCTGAGGGAGGCCAGTTTCCAGGAGCTGCCGCTCCGCACGCGCGTGGAGATCCTGCACCGGCTCTGCGACTACCGGCTGGACGCCGACGACGTCTTCGACCTCCTCAAGGTGCGTGCGGCCAGCCCTCCCCGAGCAGTGGGATGCCGCCGGCTACAGTGGAGGGGGACGCAGACAGGAGCAACACCAAGCCCAGGCTCGGCCTGCATCTGGTCTCGGAGCTGTTTACAGGCCGCGTCACTCCCTGGGCCAGACTTGCAGGGCCACGTTTGTGCATAACTGAGGTCTCTGTGGAGGACTCCGGGGGCTGGAACCGGATGTGCTGGTGAGGTCCGTCCTCTGCTCACATGCGTGTTGATGGCGAAGGCGCGGGGCTCTCCCGCCCTCTCCGTCTGCCCTCGGTCTGCTCTAGAAGTGCTCCTGGGGTGGGGGTGGGGGGAGCACACCTTACTGCCTCCTCTTGTCGAGAGGTCAGTTTCTTTTTCTTAAAGAATTATTTTTTATTTAACTTTATTTACTCACTTGTTTTGATTTGACCAGAGAGGGTCAGAGTGAGAAAGCCAGCCGCCAGGTCCAGCGTCTGTAACCACTATGCCAGCTACCGGCCCGAGAGGTCGGTCTAATCCCCTTCGGTCGTGAGTGGTGACATGTGTGGGTGACGTCTCGGGTTCCGCTTTGCTCACACACACGCTATAGAAATGGCTGTGTAGCTGAGCCCCAGCTGCCGTGGGCCAGGTTGTCCACAGCAGCGGGAGGGTCAGTGCAGGTCCAGCCCTGCGGTAAACCGAGCGCTGCCTCGCCGGACCTCAGCTGGCATGAGACGTGGCTGTAGGTTCTGACCACTCTGCCGTGGGGACCCAGGGACAGAGCCCTCGCCCGCGTGTACACAGCTGCCCGCCTGACACCAGCTCCTTCCGGGCGCACACAGTCCCGAGCAGACCTGGGAAGTGCTCACCAGCGCTCCTTGTAGGCTCTTTTTGCAGAAATGGGAGCGGTGGGGTGGGACGCCTCTGAAGTACTCCCATATGTCCTTCAGGAAGGTGCCACCTCCCATCCCGCCTCTCATAGCCCTGACTGAAAATGACAAGGCTCATTGGACTTTGTAAAAATGAAGGATGTTCAACTTCTCATTTTCATTTTTTCTTGTGCATTCCCCCAAGTCTTCACTCTGTCTCCCCAAGTCCCTGTTCCTGTCTCCCCAAGTCCGTTTCCTGTCTCCCCAGGGCCTGGATGCAGACAGCCTCCGCGTGGAGCCTCTGGGCGAGGACAACTCCGGGGCGCTCTACTGGTATTTCTACGGGACGCGGATGTACAAAGAGGACCCTGTGCAAGGGAAGTCCAGCGGGGAGCTGTCCACAAGCAGGTACCCTGGGATGTCGGGAAATCCCAGGCCTCGCAGCAAAGCGGTTAAGTGCCGTGTGCCGGGAGCTGCACCCCACACGGCTGACCGCAACTCCGAATCAGCTGGCAGCTGGGAACATGTGCAGAGCTGTGTGTGTGCACACTCACGCCCTGTGGAGGGCTGCTTTCTCTCTCTCTAACAAACTCTGCATCCTCTGAGAATAAACATAAAAATAAAAGTAAACTTTTTTTTTAATTGTTTAAATTAACTTTCTTTTTTTTTTTTTTTTGGAGAGATTTTTCACTGTAGGGCGCGTGCGCTCGCCAGACAGACAGACAGAGACAGAGAGACAGAAAGCGAGAAATCACCCCCCAGGGGGGATGGTCACGCCGCAATCCCTTCTCCTCCATTCTCCTCTCGGGATCTTGGGCACGCACGCACACGCGCCTGGCGTGAGTTTTAAGCCACCAGGTCCGGGACACGAACCGCCGTCGACTACGTGGGAGTCCAGCAACATAGCCATTACGCTAACTGCTGGTTCCCTAGAATTGATGATTAACTTTCTGAACCATCGGTATGAGACCAGAGGGACCTTAAGTGATTCCTTAAGGGGCCAGCAGGTGGCACATTGGCTAAGGTGCTAGACTCCCACCTGGCCTAACTGCCGAGGTTCGAGTCTCAGACCCTGTAGCTTGAAAATCATACCAGGCATGTATGCACGGGTGCCCGGCCAAAATCCCAGGAGAGTGGAGGTGCGACCACCCTCCCTGGGAGATGATTTCTCTCTCTCTCTCTGTTTCTTCCTGTCTCTCCCTGGTGAGCACATGCACCCTGTGGCAGAAACCTTAAAAATAAAAAGGATAACGCAAGCCTTATTGAGTCCTTTCTCGTGAGGGAGAGGTCTGCATTCATAGCACCCTGAGACGAATCACCTCTGCCCGTTCCCCTTACTGCCGGGTGCCATGCTCCCATTCGGTGGTGCCGTATTTGAATATTGCCGGACAGCAGTTTTCCTTGGCCCCCTCCTGCCGACGAGGACTGGACCTCACCCGCTGTCCCCATTAGATTCCCTCTCTCCCGCTCAGGGCAGGACGCTGTACTCGCTACTTTATAAACCACCTTGGGGCCGGGTATGGGTGTTCAGCTAAAGCACGTGCTCTTTGTGGGCTGACCCCCAGGAAGGTACCAGCTGGGTTCTGGGGCTGGGCCTCAGCGCGGGGGTCCTCGGGCGCCATCTCCTCCTGTCTCTCCCTTCCTCTGGCTTTCTCACTCACATACGGAATGAATGAACGAGTGAGTGAACGAATGAGTGAAGGGACGCTTTCTGAGAAGTCCTATGTGACACCTGTCCCTGGCCCAGAACATGCCCGTTACATATGCTCTGTCCACTAGGGAAAGCGAAGGCCAGAGACATGTCTCCGGCGTTCCTGGGAAAACAGGGAAAAGAAGAGGGAGGCCCCCGAAGCGGAAGCGGATACAGGAGGAGATTGCTGCAAGGTAAAGCGGGTTGCCGGCCCGAGGTTAGGACGCAACGTGCGCTGGGAGGTGCCCTTTCCACATCCTGGGGCGGACGCGGGGCGCGGACACAGAGCTGCACACGCTCTCCGCGGTCTGTGCCTGCGTGTTCGGTGATGGGCTGGGTTTCCACGTGCTGAGGCTTCATCTGAACAAGACGTGGCAGAGTAGGAGCCGAGAAGCACAGGGCGTCCAGCACGCGTCCACTGGGAACGGGCTCTGCCACCCGTGGTGCACAGGAAGAGCGCACAGACGCTGGGTGAGGTGAGCTAGTCAGCATCGCAGGACAGGCAGACTTCACACCCGGCTGTCTGCACTAAGGACGGTGAACACTGACTGTGCCCAGACGCGCTTTATTTCCCGTAGCATGCTGTTTCCTATGATTTAGCAGAACTAGGGTCTCGGGCCAGCAGGTGGTGGATTGGCTAAGGTGCTGAATCCCACGTGGCCAACTCCGTGGTTCAGAGGTTTTAACAAAATACTGGGCGCATGTGCATATATGGCCCAGCCCCGAGAGGAGACTGGAGGAGGACTACAGCGTGGCCACTCCCCCAGGCTGCTTTCTCACTTTCCCTCTCTCTCCAGCATGCACATTTGTCCTATGACAGAAATCTGTTTTGTTTTGTTTTGTTTTTTTAAAGTAAGATTTTAAACTTTATTTTTTTTTTTTAATTTTATGCTTAATTGTAGCAGAGAGATTTGGTTGCATTTGGGAGATTTTCTTTTCTTTTTTTTGGAGAGGTTTTTTCACTATAGGGCACGTGCGCTCGCCAGACAGACAGAGACAGAGACAGAAAGCGAGAAATCACCCCCCAGGGGGGATGGTCACACCGCAATCCCTTCTCCTCCATTCTCCTCTCGGGATCTTGGGCACGCACTCACACGCACCCGGCATGAGTTTTAAGCCACTGGGTCTGGTATGCGAACCATGGTCGACTATGTGGGAGTCCAGCGACATAGCCATTACGCTAACTGTTGGCTCCCAGGAGATTTTCTTTTATATATCATGTTTTAGGAAATTTGTCCATATCTTTATATGCATTTTCGGAATCTGTCCTATACTGTATAAATACACTTTTTACTTAAGGACCCGATCTCATTATAAAGAGAGATGTGAGAAATGTGGCCATATTCTTTAAAAATGTAATAACATAGAACAGCTTGTTCTCTCAAAGTTTTAGAACTACTGGTACTTAATGTGAATACGGGATTCAGGTCACACGTCGCTGTGTTACTTTCTAACCACTAAGAACTGTTTCTGGAAGATACTAGCTAGATCAGTCGGGTTTGAGTGGTTTAAAACTCCGCTTTCCGGGAGCTCGACTGCACTGGGCCTGTCTGTCTCTGGGCGGTGCTTGTGGGAAACGTCCTGTGGCACACGTGTCCCGCGTGCATGGTGCCTGTGGCCGGCTTGCCCTGGCATCCGCTCGTCCAGGGTTCAGGACGCCATTACGGACCTCCCTCCACCTCCCCGTCAGTGCCAGCAGTTAGGGTACCTTCCCCGGGGACGGAGCCACCGCCGCCCACATACACGGTCACACGATTGCTTCGGCACTGTGAGTCTGAGACACTAGCAGAGTATTTTAAAGTTAAGTGAAAGTTTGGTTCCTAAAGTCCCATCTTAGTGCTCTGCGGGGACCCATGGTTGTGGCTCCTGCGGCACAGTACCAGTGCAGGGTGTCCTCATTCTCACGGGACAGCCCACAGCCCGGGGCTGCCTTAGAGGTTTGAAAAGAGAAAGAGCATCCATTGAGGATCCTTTTGTTCCAGAAATGCACATGACAGCGCCGTAGTTCGTTAAACCGCGTGACTTAACAGCGGTGCTCTGAGTTGGGCTCCTTTCCTGGGGCCCACGAGGTGAGCAGCAGGGCGTGGAGGCCCAAGCCTGGTTCGGGATGCCCTTCCGTAGCGCAGCTCTGCATCAGGGAGGGAGACGTTGCGGTCCTCAGGGCTCCTGTTGTGTGGGCATTTAACTGTGAGCGCGATTCCCCCGTCTGATTCCCAGAGGGCGTTTCAGCAGCTGGGACTTTGTGCACATGGACGTCGTTGTGACGTTGGGGTCAGCGCGTCCCCTCAGCTGCCACGCCTGCACCCATGCGCTCGCTGCCACTCACGGACCCGTTCCTCCTAACGCCAGCTCCCCGGAGACACACACATTTCCCATGCCCTTCTATGGGAAGCACTGGCCATTTTGGGTTTGTTTTAATTGCCATCTGTTTTTCCTGTGTTTCAGTGAAAAGCAAGAAGAAAACTCATTGGCATCTGAGCCACAGGCAAGAAATGGTAATGTCGCAAAGAAGCGATTCGGTACCCGTGGTTGTTTATGTGGTGGGGACTCTGTCCTTCCCCAGGGCCCCACCAGGTGTGGTTAAAGAGCCTTGCAGTGGCTGAGCAGCTGCCCCGAGAGCTGGACTTTGTTGTCAGCACCGGGGGCATGGTGCTTCCCTTGCAGGCCACACTGCACGCGGGTTCCCTACCCGGAGTAATTCTGTACTCCAGGGAGCATCCACCTCGGGGCAAGCTCCACCCTCACAGTGGAAATGAGACAAGGTACACAGAGGCCCAGCTCAGCATCATTTAGTAAAACATAAATCCCTGAGTTTCCCAAATGTTCCGTTCTGTTAGGTCATCGGGGAAGGCTTGACGTACCTTTCTGTGTGTGTCATCACTGTCCCAACGACCCAGTAGCTTATTAAAATCACACTCGCAAGGCCAGCTGGTGGGCCTGGTGGTTAAGGCGCAGGAGTCCCACCTGGTCAGCCATGGTTCCAGTCCCAGATCCGTGGCTTGACAATCATGCCAGGCGCATATGTTGCATACTAAATACCCTGAGGGGAGGCATAAGGAGGGACTGTGGTGGCCATCCCCCCGGGGTTCCTCATTCCTCCTCTCTCTGCAGGCAAAGCCTGAAAACAAAAAAACAAAAGCTCACTATGTATTCGTGTTGCCTGTCGGCACGCTGGCAGTGGGCTAGCCGCAGGGTGAG